GGCGCTAAGGAACTTAGTGAGAACCTATCTCTAAATAAAAAATAAAAGGGCTGGGAATGTGGCTCAGTGATTGAGTGGCCCTGGGTTCAATCCCTGGTACAAAAAAAAAAAAGCCATTACTTTAAAAAAAATACACTTCTTAGTCATTAAAATATACAAGTGACAGGGTGGTTAGTCATTACATCTTAGAATTTGTTTTAATCACTGTTGGTTTGTTTATAATTGAGATTAAAATTCACATCTCAGAGTTCACAATTTTAATTGTTTAAAAGTGGTTTTCTGTATTAACAATGTTGGGCAACCATTACCATATCTAATTCCAGGATATTTTCATCACCCCCAAATCTCCATTTCCTTAACACCTAGTTGCAACAGAAGCTTTGGTCTGGAAGAAGTTTGGAGAAGGAGAGGTAAATAGAATACTCAACGGAGAGAAGGCTTGGGCCAAGTGCCTAAGAGTGAGCATCACGGTAAAAAAAAATACCCTTTAAAATATTGTTTAGAGTTAGCTCTGGGGTGGTGGCAAAAAGATATCACCTGACTTTCTAAAGTATCTAGGAAAGTAATAGATTCTTAAAATTAATGGGGTAAGTTGTCTAATGTTTAAAAGCACTCTTATGTCACTGAAGATCACTGAAGATCACTATTACAAGCTGCCCCTCTCCCCCAACCCAGAGTATGGTTGGCACTATTTGGACATTGAGTCATAGGTGCATTTGCCCTGGGACATAACAGGGCTACCTGGGCCGTGTTGCCTTAATGGGGGTAAAACCAAGAGACGACTGAAGAGTTGACATGACTTTTATTAGGACAATGGAAACAGGCAAGTGGGGGCTAGATATTTTATTTGGTATATTAAAATATTATTTGGTCCATATTAAAAGAATTAAAAAATTAAAAGAGAACAAAATCCTGAGGGGTGTATTTCCTTAAGTAGTAACTTGAAATCTATATTCTGATCAAAGATAGGAAGGAGATCACACCAGAACAAGACTACTCATGCATCAACAGCAGGACTAGTAAAGCCTTTTTCTAAGTGACTTTGTTCTGCTAAACAAAAGGAAGCAGAATTAGTCCTGAAACTTAACGTTAGTTTCCTGTGTACTGATTTATATCAAAAGGTAGACTCCGACTTCAAAAAGAAGTGCAAGCTGGGTGCAGTGGCACATGCTATAATCCCAGCAGCTAGGGAGGCTGAGCCAGAAGGATTGCAAGTTCAAAGCCAGCCTCAGCAACTCAAGGAGGCTCTAAGCAACTAGTGAGAACCCTGTTGCAAAAAAAAAAAAAAAAAAAAGGTGGGGTGGGTGGGAATGTGGCTCAGTGGTTAAGCGCCCCTGGGTTCAATCCCTGGTAACCCTCTGCAACCTTCCAAAAAGGAGTGTAATAGGCATTTCATTGATTTCTGCTAGTAAATACAGCTGTAAACACTTCAGGTGCAGACTTTGGAAGTGACAGGAGGAATCTCCCTTGGGTTGTGATTATTCACACAAAGTAAAATCAACAAACAACACTCAGGCTGTAAGTTTCCTGTTGCTTTAGTTTTATAATAAAGGTGTTTTTCTTCTCAGCTGAATTTTCACGGACTTAAATAATTTATTAAATAATTTATTTTCTGGGACGTAATTTAAGCACATAACTAATAAAATAGTTTACTGTATTTATGTTTTTAAAAAACTGGCTAGCTGGCTCCTTTATCAATTTGAATATGAATATGCTTAAAAATATTCATGATAATCTGAAACATTCCTCTGATCAGAAGAGCTGAACAGCAACCTATAAACTGTTTAGAAAATGAACCAAACATGGAAAAATTACACATTTGGGTAAAAGAGGATTCTAATTTATTTGGAAATATTTCATGAATTTGCTTGTTAGAATTGCAAACATCAGATCATAACTATAATAGAGAAGTAACTGTTAATCCAGGTTAACATGACATACCACTTATAATCAATGTTTTTTTCCCCTTCTTGCAATTTGTTATAATAAGCCAGACCTTCAAAATAGTTGACCACTTGAGGCAGGCCAAATGGGGCCTCTCTTTCCCAAATGGCTCACAGTCTTGTATTTTGGGGTCTAAAATTATACTACTAGAGATTTATTTCTTGGATGCTGAAGGCCTTTTGTTCATTGACAAGAAATTTACTTTTAAAGTGCTAGTTCCCTTGTGATGGGTAATTCATTACTATTACTTTAAGTTTTAACTTGTTGGCTAGCTGACAATGCATTGGAAACATGGCTTTCGTTTTTCTTCTTCTTGGTTATGGGATTTTTCTTCCTTTAAGGAAGTGGTTTTCTGCCATCCAGTTCTGTACTTCTGGTGTGAGGGGCCACTCAGAACATTCTCTTTCTCACTCTTCTTTTTCTCTACCCTGCCACCCAGTGCGGGATGCATGACCAAAGCTTGTCCAAAAATGTTCCCCATCCCTGATCACAAAATTTGGTTTCTATCCCAGGATGAATACCCAACCCTAGCCAGACAGAGTTCTTTCGTGTACTTTTCTAACTAGAGCTGGTGGGAAAATGTTTTCTTTCTTCTCTGGAAAAGAGGTGATAAGAAAGAAGTGCAGCCCATAGCTTTTTATAGTCATCTTTCTAGTCTCTTCCAACATCTAGCTTAACAGAATTAAGTCTCAGTGTAGAGACATGCAGAGATGAGTGACACATCATGTCCTAATGGTATCCGACACCCTGAATCTGCAGGACTCTGAAGCTAATAGCGTGCCCTTTCTTGGTTTGCTTACTTGTGCCAATAAATCAACCTTTCTCCTTAAGCTATTATGACTGGGGCACCTGGCCTTTGCAAACAGAGTCTGAGAACCCAGAACAAACATTTTATAAAAGGACACAAAATAACTAAGGGAGAGATGGTGTTTTAGGTCCAGAAATATTTGTATGTGGGTGAGTTGGCCTGTATTGTTCTAGGGTAAATAAGGGTTATTTTCCTTAAGTGTTAGAGGCTTTATTTTGAAGTGTATTGAGAGGAAGGGCAAGGTGACCAAGGTGTCTGAGATGGCCAGTTAATATCACTCTGGGGCCATAATGACCTTGATAATCTCTTGGACTATTGAATTCAAGGTGAGGTTGCACAGGGCTGACAGGAGAGTAAAAATGTGAAAAATATTTGATTTAAGATATTAGTACCCCTTGTTGGTGCAATGACTCAGTTTCTCTATCAGTAAGAGAAGCAGCATAGCTCCAAAAGGAAGGGTACCATTTTGATCCAATGGACCTTAGAATAACTGTTTAGATTTAATTTTATTTATTAACTAGTAGTTTTGTTTTTAAATAAAAATACTGAGAAAAAAGTGATCTAAGAAAGATGGGATTTATTATTTTCTGCCTCCCCCAAACCATTTACATGTTAGTATCATTTAAATTTTGACTTATTCAAATACCTGAGAGACCAAATGGCACTAGACAATGAATGATATTTTTACCTAAATAAGTATAATTAGAATTAAATGCCCTGCAATAATATTTTTTGCACTAAGTTTAACATGGAGTTGAGAAGTCAAAAGCTTCTCTCAAATAAGCTGGAGAACTACCTCCAATGTGTTCCATGATTGTCATCAGCTTCTCCCCAAGAAACCAATGGAAAATCTAGCCCGTGGATTCCTTAGATCTTTAAATGGGTAACATTTTCTAGTGGGTTTTTATTTGTTTAGTTTTCATGGTTGTAAAGGCAACATTATAAACTGCTTTTATATTATTTTGTTAAAAGAAAAAGTTGAAAAGAAAAGAAAGAAAAAAGTTGTCCTTTGGCAGGTGTTTCAAGGTGACAGTATTAGATGCCATTTGAACCCTAGGAAAGTGCTATTGGAAATTGAAAATACAAACCAAGTTTGCTTGTGAAGTTTCACCATGTGGTCAGGATTCTGGGAGTGTCCCCTTTCTGAAGCCACCACATCGCCTACTTCTTCCTCCTCCACTTGTTTCCAAGTTGCTCCTCTTTTTCCAGAATTATTTATGAGTAATAAAGGAAGCCAGAGTAAGAACAATGACATGTTCCTGGCTTTGCAAGAGTGGCACACTTCAAAGGAAGACATTTATTTTAGGGAACTAAGTCTTTGCAGGAGATCAACAGGCAGAAGTGAAGTTTGTTATTGCTGCTACATAGCAGACAAAACGTCCTCAGCCTATCAAAGCTGGAAACCTCCCCTGGTGTAGGAAAAGTCACTGCTTTGGTGCTGACTACTCAAGTATTGCCTGTCTGAGTCTAACCTGGGCAAGTTAATGAATATATCTGAGCCCCGACTTATTCTGGTGGAATCCATGAGTACACTTACCTCAGAAATTATTCTGAGAATTAAGTAGATACTTACACATCTTGCTTAGCAAAATGCCTGGCACATAGTGTGAAATGTTAACTCCTATTATTAGTAATGACAACCTGTGTTTTTTCCCCTAAAGTGTATTTATAGCCTCTTAGTAGAAGTAGTATTTTTTTTTAAATTGAAACTAATGTTGCTATTCAAAAAAAATTTTTTTAAACTATCCAGATTTCACCCTAACCAGCCTTCCCTGCTGGTTTTCTGCTTCATTTGTCTGCTGTTAAAAAAGACTCTCCTCCCTTCCTTGTGCTGTCTTAGCGTGCCAGCCTGTGCGCTCAGACAGGCTCCTGGCCCTACTCCAGAGCCCTGTTCCTCAAGGTGTCAGGTCTTCCTTCTTAGGCACTGCCCTTTCCTCACAGTCACCCAGCTTATCCAATGACACTTCACAGATCTATTTCAGGCCAGTTGTTCATTTTCAGAGACTTCCCCTTAAAGAGCAGCTTATTCATTCTCTGCCTCTCTAAAGTGAAAGCAAACCCAGCCCAGAGTTAGTAGCTCACGTGCCATCTCTGTTCATTCCTAACAGAGGTCAGGCCAGGCCAGTATGCTGCTGAGCTAGGACGCTGCCAGGCACAGTGGTCTTGCTTTTTGCTTGGTTGCCAATGAAACCATAGGCATCACCCAAGATGAGGGGCCAGGGTGCAATTGTCACGTGGTAATACTGACCTCTAGGGGCTGGCTTTCCTTCACAGAGCATCTTTATCTTCTCATTGAGTTCCATGATTGTGAAGGCAGCCTCTTGCTTAGCTGTTGCCAAATCAGTTTTTAGTTTTTTCATTTTCTTTTTGTGCTTTAGTTTCTTAAAAAAAAAAAAGAGTTTCCATCACTAGAGACAGATGCATCAAAGGAATCAAAGAAACTAATGATGTATGAACAAACATTGCCTTTGAAGCCCTGCTTAGATGAAATGCTCCCTGTTTATGTAGATTGAGTACTGCTTGAGGTCTGTGACACAAGGCACATATGCTACCGTCAGAATCTTTGAGTTCCCAGCAATAAAAGTCTACTCTCTACATTATGGGACCTTTCACCCTCTGGAAAGAGTTTTAATCTGGATCTGAGGATAGGTTGCTTATAACAGAGGCAATTAGAGAAGAACTTAAAGTTGCCAGTTAACATTTACCACTGAGGTGCTAATACCTAAAAGTATCAGGTTCCCCCTGCACCCAATCTGTCGCAGACTCTTGTGAAATAACCAGAGCCTTGTTCTGAGTCATGTTTTCTGCAACAGTTGAATGTTAGTTTTAAATACACTCTAAAGCATATGGTGCTACTATGCAGTGATGGCATTTCCTATGTTATCTGTACATGGAACGTGGTTAAGGGTAAGAATTGTTTTTAAGCAGTAGAGGATAGGAAAGCCTTGCTCTAAAACTGATTTTAAGTCCAAACCTTTGGGAGAACTACATTAAGAAGTGGTTATATAACCAAAGGATTCACCTTGAGATTTTATGACTAGAGAGCTCCTTTCATGGATTTCAAAGTAGGTTTAATTTGTCAAAGTTAGATTGATCTGCAACATTGGAGAAGCTGTCTGATGTGACAAGTGTTGCATTTGTACATTTGTGTTGCTTTTGGGCAGCTGCCTTTTCACTGGGGATCTCACCTTGCCAAGTCTTTGTGGGCTGTTAATTAGGAAGTCCAGAGAATGAACAATGAACATTGCTTGTCAGACATAAATCTTGAGATAGAGAAAATAATGGTTTTCTCACTATAGAAGAGCGCTTCTTTCCTGGCCTCTGAACACAGAGTGCTCAGAAGGCAGATAATCACTCTCATATTAGAGAATAAAGCCAGTAAAATTGATTTGCAAAGGTGGAATTAGATAGACACAGACTTCACATTTTAAGGACAGGTTGTCGAGCTGGGGATGTAGCCGAGTGGTAGAGCACTTGTCTGGCCTGTGTGAGGCCCTGGGTTCATCTTCAGCACCACACAAACAAACACACACACAAACCGAAAAACCAAAACAAAACAAAAAGACAGGTTGTCCCCCAGACCCAACACAGGATGGTCAGGACTTCACTAAATCTTAACTAATGCCATAAGCATGGTTAAAAGAGAATGTGTTCCTCAAAGGAATGGGGCTCAACGGATGTTTTTGAAGGAAGTTGGAAGGGTAGAATTTGATAGGGTTCACCCATGCAGTCCAGGTTAGAAGTGCACTCACTAGCCATGACCCCAGTGGCAGGTCTTCCCAGAAGTTCTACAGTGATAGTTAGTGTCCCCATCCTCATTTCATCATGAAGCCAGCTGTTGAAACATCAGCTGATGAGGTCTCTTCTTCCAGACCACCAGGACTTTTGAGTTTCCCTCCTCTGAGTCTCTGGTTACTAAAAGCCTTCATAATTGGCCTTCCATGGCCATTAGTTCAAAGAGAGAGTAGATTGATGAGGAAATATGCCTGGGCATTTAATAGCTGTGCTTCGCATAGTAAATTATTAAATTCTCATGCTAATTCCTCTCTGATTAGCCTGTTCCTGAGGTCCTCATCCATCCCATGCCTGCAACTATAAAAGCTATGAGACTCTGGCTGGTCATCAGTGATCTTCCCTGATGCGATTCTAAGGATATTAGACATTCAAGAATTTTACATCTTTCTTTTATCTCTTAGATCTTGGGGACAGAAAGTGGGAAGAAGAACACAAAAATGAAAATTGAGGAAAGGGAGGGAATAAAAGTATGGTAAAGGGGATTCAGAAGGGAACATGAACCAAACGTTTCAAAAAAGAATTGATAACAACATGCATGTTGGTGTGTGAGGATAAAGTATTCTGCTGCAAACAAGTGATATTGAAATGTATAAAAATGTAGGGTGGGTTGATGGACAGACAGAGAAAGGTACAGATTTGAGAGATATTGAAGATAGTGCAATGTTCATTGTAGACTCTACTTGTTGAATATATGGGTGTTTGCTATAAAATCAACATATCTACCTGCTTAAAGTTTTTCATAATAAGATATGGGATGGAGAGAAGAATTAAATATCTATTTTCTTTACATCACCCCTTCTTTAATTCTTAATAGATGATATTCGTTTTCAAATCTTGTCATAAGTATTTATATGCAGGTAAAGTAGGCATTAATAGTAATTTTTTTTTAAATGCAACTTTGGTGAGAATTGGTGGGATGTTACTAGGAACTGGCATGATGTCTATAACTAAGAAAAAATCTTTGTTTCCATTTTGACAGGATGACTTGACAGAATTCAGAAACCCAGAGTACAGATACATTGCTTTTCAATACCAATTGAGAATTTCAACTCTTTTTTGTTTGATTGTTTTTGTTTTTTGGTGCTAGTGAATGAACTCATAGCTTCATGTATGCAAAACATGCATTCTACCACTCAGCTATACCTCCAGTCCTTCAACTTTTTATTTTAGAATTTTAACTTAAAAAAAAATATCAAATTTTCATGCTAGGCATGGTGGCGCACTCCTGTAATCCTAATTAGGGCTCCTGAGGCTGGGACAGGAGGATCTTGAGTTCAAAGCCAGCCTCAGCAATGGCAAAGCACTAAGCAACCCTGTCTCTAAATTAAAAAAAATATATACAAATTAGGATTGGGGATATGGCTCAGTAGTCGAGTACCCCTGAGTTCAATCCAAGGTATCTGCCCCCCCACCAAAAAAAAAATCAAATTTTCAGACTACCTTTTTGTCTTTTTTTAATGATAATTATGTGTTCTGTCTCTTCAAATTATATTTGTATGCTTGCCTTATGATCTAATAGGGAAACAACTTTTGGAGAAAACAGTACACCAGGCAGTCATGACAGTTGACTTCAGTTATCTAAGGGACTATTTAGGAGGAAAGGAAGTTGAGTCAAGCAGTGTTGTTCTAGAGATACCACAGAGAACAATAGGTAGAAAACAGGAGGAGAGAGGATTTTGGCACAACATGAGAACACAGCCTCCAAGAATCAGAGCCACAGCCATAACAAGACAGGATGGATCCTGGCAGAGACCTGCTGCTCTGGAATGGTCAAGCAGAGGACACTGATGAACATTTTCAGGCAAGCCCAGAGTAACCTCTGGACCTGGAGTGAAGAGGTCGTTGGAAGTTGGCTCAATCCCAATTCTTCTCACTTCTGTCTTCCACTAGCCCCTCAAGGGGCACAGCACACATGTGAATGGAAACTTCTGCCTTCAAAGCCTTGATGGTTGGTACAGTTGTCAGGGACACTTTAAAGATAATTCTGGTATTTATGAGAAATTGGATAAGAAGGCCTGTGGGTCTCTTACTATTCAAGAATAATGTGACTCAGAATTCACAGAATTTATTATTTAGCTATAGGAAAAGGAGGGGTCAGAAAATTAAATTTAAATAAAAAATTTAATAAGAGACCTAGATGTGGTTCCCTAATGTTTGTTTCTGTAAGGACCTTTTAATTGTTCAGATATTTTTTTTTTTTAGAAATGGTTTAATATTTTGCTTTTTTAAAAAAATTTCTTTTTCTTCTCTAGACAGAATGCTGTGTGTTATTAATTCATAGTCTTTACCAAGCCCTTTGGGCAGTTCAAAAAATTCAATTTGCCAACATGTTTTTTATTAGTCATAGACATCAAATGATTTCAGCAATGATAATATTTTCCTTTGCTATTTTGGCGTTCGCTAGCCAGGCAACCCAAGTGTACTGGAACCTAATGGATTCTGTTATGGTCTCCTTAGTAACTAGGGACTCTCTTCAGTAATTACCAAGAGGATAGGAAGGTATTGGAGCTTGGAGGCAAATTCCTATTATCTTGTTTTTTTCCTACTTCTCCTACAGGGTAGAAAGAGGGAGGAAATCATGTATTTGTGTAATGTTTTGAAAAGGAAATATTTATCAGTATCATATTGCTGAATGGCTTACATTATACTAAGTCAATGAGAATCAGAAATAGTCAGGGAGCTATTTATAGAAGAGTTTCAATGCAGAATTGCCAGCACTGTCTAACATTTCTGGGTATTTCCACACACTTTGACTCATGGCTTTGGATTATGAAGTTGAGCTTTGTCACTTACTGGCCATGAGAAATTGGGTCAGGCTGACATCTCCAGCTTTAGAGTCCATTTCATAGAGTGTTTGGGGGCTCAAATGATACAACATATAAATGATAACACCCAGTGCTACGCTTAACGATATAATAAAGTCTTTCTATTTTTGTCATCATTCCTTGAATCACAAAAAAGGAGAACTTCAACCCTTCATCAAAACATGTATATTTTCTGAAGTTGTTTTTATCACACTTTACAGAAAATAGAATTTGTACTTATTGAAAGAAAAACTTTAGTCTTCTTTTTTTCCAAGATAAGTTTTCTGCATGATTGCATTGACTGCCTTCCCATTTTATATGGGAAGACAAAGCTTAATGTCCTGAAAACAGACATGCAAATAGCCTTGATCCAATCTTCTGCCAGAGCTGGCCTGATGCCTAGGTGAAGTAGGTGGCTGGCTACAGGGAGAGATGGAGCACTTCAAGGCCCAAGCTCTAGTTCCCCATGGCAGCTTTCTTGTGTCTACAAGATCAGAGTTGTTTTCACACTTTTATGATTTCAAGCTGGAATGTCCCCCCAAAGGTTCATGTGTTCAAAGTACGGTCTCAAAATGCAGCAAGCTTCAATGTGTGAAGTTGGTGTTAATATACCTTATATATAATCAGAGATATGATAAATTATTGTATAATGGTGTATTAACAATTGCAATGCAAAAAATTAATTAATTCATTAATTTTAAAAAATAAAAATAAAAAATAAAACCTAAAAAAAATGCAGCAAGCTTCAGAGGTGGGGCTTTTAAGGCATTGGATAATAAAGA